AGATCAGTTTGTACATTTTTTAGCGTGCGCAGTGAAATAGCTCACGTTTTTATACACGCAAACGTTTGATAGATCCGGCCCATTGTGACAAAAATGAAAATTTCCAAATATTTCTCCATCATTTTAGGCTCCATCCCTGATCTGAGTCATAAGAACAGCTCTCTGTTCCTGAAAGAGCATTTCTCAGGCTTTCTGGTGGCAGAGATGTCAACTGGAGAACATTTGTCATCTTTAATCCTGAAAGGCTAGAGGAACTTAACATCCCATTTGAGGACTGCTAGTCCTATGACAATGGCGCCAATATGAAGGAAAAAAATAAAGGTGTTCAGGCAAAATTGCTTCAGTTGAACTCAAAAGCTTTTTATGTCCCATGTGGCACTCACACTTTAAATCTGGAAATAGCTGATTCTGCAAAAAGCTCAACAGATTCCCTTGGCTACTTTGGGCATTTGACAAAATTATTCAAGCTCTTCTCAGCCTCCATCAAAAGGTGAGATGTCCCCTTAAATATGTGAAAATCAGAGACCAGATGGGAAAGCAGGATAAAAAGTGTTGAGGCAGTAGCTATCAGGCTGGGCAAATACGACTGGCTCTTCTGGAGGTGAGGTGAGAAACTACAGACCCTGCGGTGCGAGTTGAAGCCCAGTCTTTAGCTGAGGAGATTGGTTTGGCATTTCTACAGACATATGGTATAAAGTTCTCTGCAAAATCCATCATGTCAGAAAACTGATGCACTCAGCCTCCTTGCAGCTTGACATCGCTGTTGACTTGGTGAAGAAGACAATAGTTTTTTTAGGCCAGTTACAGAAACACTTGATGTTGCGATGAACAGACAGAAGCAAAGGAGATGTGAGAAGACATGAACGTGGAGGCTGCTGCTGAAAGAAGCTTTTCCAAGCTTAAACTGATTAAAACTATGATCCAAGGACTTTTCAGTGGACTTTCCATCATAAGCTTTAATCATGTAGTCAGGGGTGGATTTAGGAAATATCGGGCCCTAGGCAAATATAGGCATGGGGCCCTCTGAATTGAGACAACTCATAAAACAGATCCATTATACAGATAAAGAAATTTTAACAGAATAGACATAGATTATTTGATCTACGTTTTTGTCCCTCTCTTCTTGTCCTTTTTCTTGTTGTTTTTTTGTTCCATGTTTTGTAAAAAATTCTAACACCTTTTTTGGTGTTCATATCACACTAGAAGTGGTCTGGCTCTAAAACTACAACATCTAGATACATCTAACCTGGACTAGATTATTCTAAACTACTTGAAGAATAAAGAGAACCAAGATTGGTCCAGGTTAGATGTGTCTAGGTGCAGTAGTTTTAGGGCTATGCCACCTTTAGTGTGATATGGACACTAAAATAAAGTCTTAAAATCTGCCTTTATTAAAGTTTCACAAATCAGAGAACTGGTTTTATTTCTTCTACAAGTAGTTTAGAATAATGTAGTTCAGGTTAGATGTCACTAGGTGTTTTTATTTTTATTAGAGTAGATTAAAGATGCTGAAGATAGAGAAACATGAAGTGGAATCGCCCTTTACTCATTTGTTGAATCGGAAGCCAACTTCAGCTTCGAGTGAACAGTGCGATACTTTGAAGGTGGATTCAAATACATCGTTGTCTGGATGCTGATAAGGGACACATGGATTTTTTTCAGCTGTGTGTTTCTTTTGACGGTGTCACTTTACGCTCCCCTCTGATCCAATTTTAAGATGACATCACAAAAAGCTGCCTGATAATCACTTGAACCTACTTCTAAACACTCCCACCATCTTCGCGGTGTTATTTTTCTTTTCTTTAAGTTTCCAACATATTTACAAAAAAATCCTCCCCTGCGCAGGATAGTGATGACCATGGAGGGATTTACTATTAGGCAATACTAGGCAGTTGCCTGGGGCCACAAGTTCCTGGGGGCCCCATAAAACTCTGTTTCCATGTACGGTTAATACAAATATTCCTTATTTGTGCTCATTAATTATGTTTTTGATCAAAATCCTTTGG